TTGTGTCTAGCTTCTTTTGCTCAACATTATGAGATTCATCCACGTCGTACCTATGTAGCAATAGTTTGTTCATTCATTACTATAAGATACTCCATTGAGTGATATATCACACTTTATTTATTCATTTCTACGGCTGGACATTTATTTGCAAGTTTTTACTGTTAGAAATAGTGCTGCTGTGAACATTTTTGTGTATGCCTTTTGGTAACAGGTACACGTTTCTGTTGGGTATATACCCAGGAGCAGTACTGCAAAATCATCAGATATGTGTACATTCATCTTTAGTAGTTACTGTCAAATAATTTTCTAATATGATTGTACCAATTTATATTCTAACACTAGTTGCTTTGCAATCTTACCAAAGTTTGATATTATTTGTCTTTTTCATTTTCGTTATTCTGGGGTATATAAAATAGCATTGCCCTGTGGTTTTAATTTTCATTGCCCTGAGAAATGCACTTGGAAGGGAGCCAGCAGAACTTAACATTTCATAATCACAAGAAGGGGGAAGACTTAAAGAGGAGAGAGAGAGAAAGCCCCACCTAATCACTTCGGTTTTTCTATTGGTTGCATGTGACATATAGATTTGAGATTGTTACTAGGTTATGTCCTATGTGCAGGGATCTAGGGTAAGGGTTACAAGAAGCATTCTGGGTTGTTTCATGCCTTTGTGGTGCCATTATGTCTGCTTCTAAGTAAAAATGGTCCTAGGGTAACATTTTCCAGGACGTGCAGATGTGACTACTGACTTATCCCAGATCTTCCAAGGTAGTGCAATTAGCTGACCTGGTCAGAGTAGATTTTTTTGTTATCAGAAAATGAACAAATGATTTGTCCTTCCCCTCTGACCTCCATAATGTGGAAACTACACTGAATACTTCTTAAGTGGTTAATGTCTGTGGTTTACTTACACTTTTTTCTCAGTGGTATTTTTAGCAGTTCACAGAAAGTTTTTAGAAATAGTGAATTTGGTTTCTTAATGGAGGGATTAGAAAATTTACCTCACAGCATGTTAGCAGATTTGAAATATACTGTAGCTGTTATTCAGAGAGAGCAAAATTACACCCATGTATATTCATTCTACACCTTTATGTATTACTTTGAGTTAGACAGAGAACAAGCCAATTTGTTTCCTTCAATTAGCTTCTTAGGCCCTCATTTCCTATTTATTGGAAGTAAGTATCAGTTCTATTTTTTAATGCATTTTTAAAAAGTAAAATGATCTAAATATACATTAATTCTTAATTGGCCACAATAATCAACCACATTGTATATTGACAAAATAAAATAAAATTTGGAAGAATAAATAAATAAATAAGTATACATGAATTCCAAAATGTTAGAGTTCTGTGTTAGTCAGTGTTCTCCAGAGAACAGAACCAATGAGATACATGTTTAAAAATATATATATGTATATATATCTATATAAATCTCTTTCTACATATTTTGTATATAGAAATATCTTTCTAGATATATATATAGTATCTAGAAAGACATTTATTATAAGGTTGGCTCAAGCGATTATGGAGGCTGAGAAGTCTCATGATCTGATCTCTGTAAGCTGGAGACCCAGGAAAGCTGATGGTGTAGTTTGAAGGCCTGAGAAATGGAGAGCTGGTAGTGTAGATTTGAGTCCAAGTCTGAAGGTCTGAGAAGATTGATTTCTCAGCTCAAGGAGTCAGGCAGAGAGAAAGGGATGCCTAATCCAACCTTTCTGCATTTTTTTGGTTCTATTCAGGGCCTTAATGGATTTGATGATACCCACTCACATTGGGAAGGGTCATCTGCTTTACTCAAAGTCTACCACCTCAAATGCTAATCTCATCCAGAAACACCCTCACAGACACACTCAGAGGTAATGTTTAATCAGATATCTGGGCATCCCATGACCCAGTTAAACACAAAATTAACCATAATAGCTTCCTTCTTTTGGAATTAAATCTGAGAGAGCCTAGTCTTTTAGAAAATGTTATAAATGCCATTTTATTTTATAAAGGAAAAAACTCAAAAAAGATAATTTTCTAAGATCACATAGTGAATCATAGGAAGAGTTAGGCATATCTGTATAGCCTTCAGTCAACCCTGAGGCCTACTTGATAGAATTCTTCTAGTTGTATCAATAGGTGTATTGAATATTCATCTAATTGTATCAGTAGGCTTGTTGAATATTGTTTTTCTATTGATAATGCGTATCACTCTGGGTGTTCAAGGAGACTCCTGAGGGGAGAGGTAGAGGCAATATCCTGAGTTTTCCTATTGTTGGATGTCCCCCAGGGCTTGATAAAACTTGGCAAAAGAAGAGTTCCTAAGGTTCTTACCCAAAGGGCAGTGATTGTAGTACTGATAATGCTCTTTGAATGCAAGGACCATGTCCTGTTTATTATTGTTTCCCTTGAAGCATCTAAACGCATAGTAGATGCAGTAATATTGTTGAATTAAAAAAAAAATCTCTTGTCCCTCTTTTTCCTCAAGCTACCACCCTGACTTTGTCTTCTCCCTTGCCATCAAAATTACACAAACAAGCTTTTATTCACTTCTTTTGTTACCTGATACAATGTCCTTTCTTCATCCTTTTTCTTTTTTGCCTTCTCTTCAGCCTTTGACATCCTTGACTACTTTTATAGCTTCACATAGTAGAAGGAAGTTGGCTTTGGAGTCAGCAGCCTTAGGTTTGCATTCCAGCACTTTCACTTTTCTTTTTAAAAAATTTATTTATTTTAAATTGTACATATTTATGGAATACAGTATGTTGTTTCAATACGTGCATATATTGATCCACTCAGGGTAGATAACATATCCATCACCTAAATATTTATCTTTTATTTGTGCTAATTATGTTCAACATCCTCTTTTCTCCAGTTCTTTCACTTTCTGTGTGACCTTGGGCAGATTCATACAAGAGCGTGGTTTCCTCATCTGTAAAATGAACATAACACTGCCTTTCCCAAAGTGCGATTAAACATGTTAAAGTATTTCTTTGAGACCTAAAGAAAATGTGCTCAATAGATATTCCTTCCCTTCCCGATTTTGCTTGGTTTCTGACATATTGCAGAGTCCTATACTGCCATATCATTTATGAGGCAGGTAGTATCATTACCCGCATTTTACAAATGAGGAAACTAAGGTCAGTCATCTAGTAGGTGATGGAGCTGGGATTCCAACCCAGAGCTCACTGACCCTAGAGTCTAAACCCTAAGCCTCTGTGCTGAATTGCCAGCCTACTGAGAGTCGTTGGAAACTGTAAGGATCCCTGAGTTGTCAGCACACCAGTTTCTTATATAATGTTTGTCTTATGAAAACATCTTTAAATAATTAATATTTCATGACATGTCTGAACCAACAAAGCTTTTTGAATGAATTTTTTTCCCCATTTTTTCATGTGTATGTGTGTGTGTGTGTTTGTGACAAGCACAAATAAATGGGGCCCTTAAGTGGCCTTTCTTATGAAATTTTAATTGGTAGCCAAGTGGAAGGAGTTGAGGAACTATAGCAAGAGACATGCTTTTGTGTTTCGAGAAATCCAGTTGGCACATAAAGTGCCAAACGAAGAAATGGAAACTATAGCAGTTAACCATAATGGTAGTGCTGAGGAGTAATTGTGGGCTCATGAGCTGCAGCACTGTTGGAAAGGGAACTGTAGTTACATTGACCTTGTAGACTAGATAAGCCGGAAAGGTGGCTATGTCACTCCCTTAAATATACTTTTGGCATTGTGAATGGAGTTCTTTCAGTATTTACCTGAGACAGTATGGGTATTGCTCCTGCTGAAGAATGGACCCATTATCTACTTGCCTACAGAAAGGAGGGGCCTCTTAGCACAGGATACAGACTGCTGCAGAAATGCCATCATCCTCATGGCTTGCAACCAGAAAGGCGAGAATGTGGAGTAGCATTGTCATTGGGGCATTAAGAGGGATAATGTCCATAAAGCACCAAGGGCAGAAGGTTGAGTTCCCCCAAAAACCAGTTTCATAAAAGCCCTTAATCATTTTTCTTTCCCTCTCCTCTTCTCTTTAGCAGCACTGTTGCTTTAGGTTGGATACTGATCTTCCCTGAACTTTTCCTGGATTGTAGTCATCTATTTAAGCTCTAGCAACTCCTAAGTCAGATACTGTCCTATCCATTCAATCTATTCTTTGAATCTGTTTGCCAGACTTAAATGGTACAAAGAACATGGAGTCTCAAAGTGGAGAATTCTTTGAACTCAAAAATAAAGTTTAAACCTTTCAGACAATCATTCAACAACAAATCTGAAAACTATATGCTGCAATTATAAAGGGCAGGCCTCAGATATATACAAGATATAATGGACGTCTTGCAGCAGCCATTGTAGTCACAATCATACACATGCATTAGAACGCTAGTAATAGCATCCTTAACTTCAAAAGAAAGTGGCATAGCATTGTAGCCAATGAGTCGGGTCTGTAATTCTTATTTTATTAAATATTCAAATACTGTAGAAGAGTGCCTCTAAGTAACTTGAATTGTTTTCTCTCCTTTCTTCCAAGGTAAGTAGATTTATTTATAGGTGAAGACTATAGTTCAGTTAAGACACTTTTCTAGAGTAACAAAGTGGGAAGGCAGAGCTACTGTATTTCTATTCCTTCACCTTCTTTACGTTGTAAAATAAAATGTCCTCTGTGACTATTAGTAGGTGGGTATTAATTTTATTTAAGTGTAATCACTGTTTCCTTGGCTAGTTGGGATCATAATTTATGCCAGGCAAATGATAAATGTATATTTATTTTGTTACTTAAGTTACAAGTACAGAATTTATTCTACTTGTAGAATGATCTGTTTTGTTTTTGTAACAGATAAGAAAACTTTCGTTTGGTGCTTTGTCAGGATTAGACTAAGGTATAACCTTTTATGAGACTTTGGCATATGAAAGTACTGTTAAGGGGCATATTTTAAGTCATTTACATAGAAACTCAGCTAGTTAATTATAGACAATAAAAGAGCTATTGGGCTAAAATGAGTAAATTTTTTTTCCCCAAAAGGTAATTAATAAAATGTCTCCAACATCCCTAAAGATCACACTAAGGCAGCTAATGGAGGGGTCTTCAAAGACCTTGCAAGAAGTATTAACTATGGAATATCGGCTAAGTCAAGCTTGTGTGGTAAGAATTTTTTTTTAAATTGTCATTTTCTAGTTATGAAAGTCATATATGTTCATTGTAGAACATCTGAAATACAGAAAAGTATAAATAAAATTTTAAATACCTGTAAATCTACCCTATGAAAACACAACAGGCCAGTGTATGGAAATATTGATAACCAGATTGTTATTTAAGCCTTTATGAAATAGCGATTATATTTGCATGTTAGAAGTACAAGAAGGCCTCTAACTTCATGTGGAATTCAAAATAGAAATTAACCATTTTTCAGGCATGATCTTTGTGACCTTGGACAAGAAGCGTAAACACTCTAAATCTGAATTCCCTTATGGGTAAAATGAGAAATATTAGTTATAAGGAGATGTATATAAAATAAATTCACACATAGAAGTTATTAATTGTTACATGTTTTAATTAATAGATTACCATTGAAAGTGCCTTTGTAAATATAATTAGACAGTAATCACATAGACTATTGATTTCATAAAACATTTTAGAGTCATAGTTATTTCTTCTTCCAGATTATAAACTCATCCCTTATGTTGGGCCCTTAAGAAGCATCATATTATTTAGATTAATAAACTAAAGGGAATATTTGGTTTAATAACCAGAAAGCAGACATTCTTAATGGACTTCAGTGTCTTGAAGTAGTTATTAAGATATTCAAAGTAGTTCATCTAATTAGAAATGAAGCTCTATTAGCCATTTTTTAAAGTCACTGCTTGTACAATGTAAATGGCAGCTGAAGTTTAGTTTTATTATGGGCAGATACTATGCCAGGCACTTTACATGCATTCTCTGCATTAAATAGGTATTATGATTGTATCCATTTCACAGACGAGGAAACTGGCATAGAGAAGTAACCTGCCTAATGTTGTATAGCAGAGACAAGGAACATGAAACCAGGCAGTCTTACTCCAGTGCCTGCACTGGACCACTACCCTATATACCTCACACAGTCCATGTTTTTCATTGCACTTTTAGTGCACTGCCTAGATTGATTGATTCCTTCCTTGCTTCATTCTCTCAGCAAATATGTTAGCTATGTGCCAGGTAATGTGCTAAGTGTTATGGTTATGTTGTTGAATGAGAAGACACAGTCCTTTGTTCTCATGGAGTTTAGTCTACTGAATCTGTAAAGAAAAAGTAAACAAAATACTTACAAATTGTGGTACGTGCTCTAAAGGAAACTTATAGGGTTGGTGGTAGAAGAGAATGACGCAGGAACAGGAGAGAATTGGGGAGGCAAAGGGAAACCTGCTTTAAATTAGTAGGTCATGGAAGACATCTTTGAGATGCCAACTCATCTGTGACCTGAAGAATGAGAAGTGAGTATGGTAAGAAGCCTCTCGGGTTGGGCAGGGGGTGATTTGATTTTTCATTTGGTTTGCTTTAAGAAGGTAATAATTGCTGCTAAGTAGAGATAGGGTTGGAGGGGTTCAAGAGTGGGTGTAGAGACCAGATATGAGTTTGTTGCAGTGATCCAGGTGTGAAATGGTAGTGGCTTAGACGAGCGTGGTGGCAGTGGAGAGAAGTAAATGGATTTGAGACAAATGTAAGAGGTAGAATTGATGATGGATGTGAGGGGAAGAATACATTTAGGACTTGGAGCTTAGAGGTATGGGTTAGAGGTTTATGTTTGAAAGACATTAGCACCAATTAAAAAAAAAACTTTGAGGATTTATTTATTTACTTAACAAGAGTACTTATCATGGGCTAGGTACTGTTAGATGTCCCAAGAATACATATGTAAACAAAACACACAAAATTCCAACCCTCATGGAATTTACTTTATAGTGGGGAATTAGACTGTAAAGAAGATAAATACATAAAACATGTAGTATATGATTGTAAATATTAAGGAAGAAAAATAAAGCAAGGAAGGAGGATATGGAATATAGGGTGAGGGAGGGTTGAATTGTGGATAGGACGACCAGAGAAGACCCCACTGACATGTTCTTTGTGTGAAAGACCTGCAGGCAGTGAGGAAGTGAGCCATGCAGGTATTTGGAGGAAGAGCATCTCAGGCAGAGGGAGCTGCCAGTAAGCAGCTCTGCGCAGGTGCAGGCCTGTGCCTCCTGTGCTAGGAGCAGCAGGGAGGCTGTGAGGAAGGGGTCGTGGGAGGGAGTGGGGAGGGAGCGACGAGGTCATAAGGAACAGTGTGGGGAAGGGCTGTGCAGAGCATACAGGGCCTTGAAGGTCTCTATGAGGACTTTGGCTTTTGTTCTGAGTAAAGTGGGAAGCCACTAGATGGTTTTGAGCAGAGGAGTGCCATAATCTTATACTTTAACAGGATTGATCATTCAGGCTGATGTTTTGAGCATGGAATGGATGAAATCATGTAGAAAGAGAATGAAAAAGCCCGGATCTGAACCCTGAGGAACTGCAGCATTTTGAGGTGGGGTAGCAAAAGAGCTGTGGGATGAGAAAAACAGGACAGAGAAGTAGGAGAACTAGGAGAGTTTGGTGTCACAAAAGCACGAGAGGAGTGTTTCACGGAGAGGGAGTCACGAACAGTGTCGAATACTGCCAGAGCATCTAGTAGATGAGGTAGAAGTATCCTTTAAATTTGGTGACACTGAAGTTATGGGTGATTCTGGAAAGCCATTTCAGAGGAGTGGTAGGGACAGAAGCTAGAGTGCGGTAAAGTGGAGAGGAAGTGAGTGAATGGGATGTGAAGAAGTGGAGACAACGTGTGTATACAACTTTTTCTTCTTGAAAAAAGAGTAGAAGCTGGGACTGTGGAATCAAGTGAGGTTCCTTTTTTATTTTGTAAGGTAAAAGATACTAGACCATGTTTATAAATCATTGGGAATGATGCAAAAGAGAAAAGATTATGTGGATAATACAGTTCATTTGCTGAAAACTTACTGTGTGTCAGACACTATGCTGGAATGTGGATTAAAATAATCTTATGATGGATGTAGGAGGGGTCTTCAGAAACTTCATGGAAGGATTCATATATCTTAAAATTCTAGTTTTACACAAACTTTTTGAAGTACCCTTGTGTTGATACTGCCATTTCATGTAAGGAAACAGGGTTAGAGAAATTACTAGCCGAAGGTCACATAGTTACTGTTTAGTAGAACCGGGATGTGAATCCAAACATTTGAACCGCATGCACTCAGCCATCAGTTATAACTACTGCCTACACTGGCGATGTCAGGATAAGAAAGAGAAGTGGATAACCTTCTCAAGCAAAGCCCTTGAAAAAGCAGGAGGAGATGTGAATTGGAATGCAGGGGAGGTCTGGCCTTTGAAAGGGGGATGGTCCCTTCCTTCATAGTCATGACAGTGAAAACAGTTGCAGATGGCTGCAGTTGGCTGTAGGTGTTTTAGTGGTGGGAAGACAGGACTGTTCACGTCTGAGGGCTTTTCTTTTTTAAATGAAGTAGGAGTAAAATTATTAGCTGAGAATAAGCGAGAGTAGAGTATACTCTAGGGATAGAAATTGAGAAGGCAGTAAACAGTTTAAATCGTTATCTTGGGGAGTGCAGAAGATGTTATGGATTGTTGGATGGTGGTCCATGCCTGTTTGAGATTTGTTACCATGAATTTTAAATGGAACCAGTTTTATGACTTTCTGCAGCAAAATTTAGCTGCTCAAATGCAGGCAGAGGTAAATGGTAGGGTTCAGCTGGTGTCAGAATTTTGCCAGGACTATATAAAAGAGGAAAAGGTTTGAGGGAGATGAAGGCATTTTCAAGGGAAAGTGACCATACTAATAGACAGGGAAACGGGGCAGGATGAAGAGCAAAGTGAAACCAGTGCAGACAGGGAGAAAGTCGTAGGATCAGGGGATTTCAATAAGATCAAGGATTTGCAGCAGTGGAGATACTTGAGCAAACACGATTAGGAGGTGGTGATCAGAGGGCGGGTTATCAGAGGTGGTCCAGAGGCTCTGAATGTCATGGTTCAGGTTGTGGCCACGGGAGTGGGAGGCTGAAGTGGGTAGAGGAGAGAGAAGATCACAAGGAATAAAGATGCCCAGAATTTACCCCATTTAATACTGGTTTTCTTTCAGGGAGGTCATGACTTTCATGAAGGTGTTAGAGCTGGTAAGTGGCAAATAGTTGTGTTTCCTTCCTGGCTATGAGAGAAATAGGATTTGTGAGCATGTACTGTTAAAGACGATAGTTGTTTTATGCTTTAGTGAGAATTTTATAGAGATTGTATTTGTGTATTTTTTGTTTGTTGGTTTTTTTAAATATTACCATCTGGGATATAAAGGTAGATCAGTCTTTGAAACTAATGTTGTTTTAAAAATTCACATAACTTGGTCACTGCCCCCTACCTTATATGTAAGAGGTAATCTTACCTCTACAGTCACATGGGAAAAGTGCAGTGTGTGGTTGTAAACTCATCCTGCTAAGGCCTTTGAGACACGCATTTGTTCCCTTGCAGAAAAGCCCTCAAGTCCCTTACCCTTCGTCCCTCTCTTGTACTGGCCTGGCAAAATTGAGCAGTGGTTGAACCCTCCTATCTACTTCCTTGCCTGTACCTGAGCAGTTAAACATTGCTAGGGAAAAACCATATGACATAATTAGTAACGTCTGCTAATGTTATTAATGCTTTCCACTTTTTTTTGTCATCTCCAAAGTCAGCATATTCAGAAAAAGCAAGAGAAACGGCTGATGTTTTTTTTCCCCAGCAAACTTGCAGCAATTCCGTTTTATGTATAGCCCTTATCCCTATAAAAAGTTATTTATGTTGTATAAAATGAGTTGTTTCCCTCTGTGTGTATTTTGCATATCTAATTTTCTTATTTATTAATCATTTTAATATAGTACACACTTTGGATATACTTTTTTATTTGAATAAAAGGGTATGGTTTCTGAGCTCTGAGCTTTGATAAATACCAATTCACTGTTAGAGAATTCTCTTACTTTCTGGCATGATACAGAATCAGAAATAAGCACTTGGTTCAAATTCTTTCAGAAGACACATGGGGATGAGTCAGAGAGGATGGCTATGTGTTTTATAGAAGCCAAGTAAAATATGCATTTATCTCGCTAATTCTCTGCAAATTCTTGCTGCATGTGGATTAGAGCCTAAACATCTGATTTTAGAGGACTTGTGTGCTGCTTGGGTTATGTTGCTAAAGTATTTCACTATATAACAGCCCTTTTAAAAGAAAGATATTGTTTTTATACTCTCAGTTATTTTAAGGAAAAACAGTTGAAGCCAAGCAGCATCCAAGTTCTTATTCATAAAGCAAGTGCTTATCAAACAACTTTTTAGTGAAGAGAAAGTATATTGCCTCCTCTTTTAGCAGTGCCTGGTATTTACTCAGAAAGCAGTATCTATTCTGGGTAAGACTGTATAGTGTTCTTGCATAATCAAATGTTTGCTACAATTTGCTAATTGTAAAAATGTTAGCAAATTAGGGAAATGATTGTTTAAAATTCTTCCTCCTGATGTATAGAATAAACTTCTTTCTGGTCATAAAAGAAAATGAAAATGGATCATCTTAGTAGAGGTAGATGGCTACCTAATGGAGTTTGAGTAGGTATCTCAGGAGACCTGAAAAATCTGAGCTTCCTACTTGGCAAGGACTTTTATATCTATTCTAGGTTTTTTTAAAAAAAGTTGTTAGCTTGAAATAAAGTAACACACAAATTTGTTAATATTCGCTTTCCTTTTGCCCTTCAGTGAGATCTCAAGGAGGTATGGGGAAAAGATTCTTGTTGAAAGAATGTCCCAGAATTGTTGTTTATGCTGTCCAGAGAATATAAAACTTTCCAATTGGTAAGGATCAGAACAGTGTTTAGTATCACCACTGATCTGAAACCAAAATCCCATAGTAGGCAGCCAATCCTTCAAAACCCTCCAGTACTCATATTTAATTGTATATGAAGCTTCCTTCCCTCCATCTACCACAGCAGCCTTCTTCCTCGGTTCCCAGACTGCTTCTTTAACTTTTCAGCCTTTTAATGCTAAATTAGTTTTTTTCTAGTTTACTGTAGAGTTTGTATATTTAAATATTTCCATTTTTCAAAAGAATTATGCACATTTTAAGTATGGTTGAAATTCGCTGCCACAATCATACCTTTATTTAAAAAAAACTTTTTGAGATAATTGTAGATTCACCTGCAGTTGTAAAAAATAATATTTCTGCATCCCTTCCACCCAGTTTCCCAAGTGATAATATTTGTATAACTATAGTATACTTTCACAACCAGGAAATGGCTATTGCCCCCCCCCCTTTTTTTTAGGAGGTTACAGATCGCCTCATTCTTCTAATCCTGTGGGGATACTATGTGGCTACACTAAGTGATGACTACACTGAAATAGTAGAAGGTTTCATGATAAACCTGAAGGTGGTCTGATTTTTAAATTCAGAGCTGTCTTAACTACAGAATTCAGTAGAACAGCAGTATCCATATTTAATTATTCATAAAGTCCCCTTCTCTACCTTAAGCAAATAATTTTCCTCCTAAAACCCATTGTGGAGGAGGTTAGAAGGCAGATGTGGGCTCGCTGCCCTCCCCTGCCTTCCCTTTAAAACACATCAGCTCTGGTTTTAGCTGTTTTATAACACGGGGATTTCACTCACAATTCTCTTTGAAGAAGAAAAAACAGTTATGATGTTAAACCACTGGATTAGTCCAGTAGGCTTTATTACAGTGAGAGACATGAGGCTTAGAACGTTAGAAAATATCCACATTAGTCATCATCAGTATATTACTATCCATCCATATTCTTTGGGGGTTTAATTTAGAAGAAAAATTAGAACATGTATAAAAACTTAAACTTTGCAGGAAAAATGTACTATAGAAAAATATGCCTAGTACAAGATAGTTTATGTCAATTCAGTAATTAAAATCTGGTAATACCAGAAAGAAATGTACTAACAACTGTATCTTCTCTTGATAGTTTTAATTGATAAAGACCAGAGTCCAAATTGGAAACCAGCTGATCTAAAAGAAGTTACTGATGAAGATTTGAATGATCACTTTAAATCTCTGGGAAGCAATGATTTGAAATTTTGAGGTGACTTGGCCTTTTAAGGTATATTCTGGAGCAAGAGTTGGAAAACTACAGCAGGTAGGCCAAATCTGGCCTACTGTCTGTTTTAATACAGCCTGCAAGCTAAGAATGGTTTCTGTATTTTTAACTGGTTGGGAGAAGAAATCAAGACTAATATTTCTTGACATGAAAGTTATATGAATTGAAATATCAATGTCCATAAATAAATAAAGCTTTATTGGAAAATAGCTATACTTATCTGTTGTATTATCTATGGCTGCTTTGAGCTGAGTAGTTGTGACAGGGATTGTATGGCCTGTGAAGCCTAAAATATTTACGATCTGGTTCAGGTCAGAAAAAATTTGGCAACTGCTGTTTTAGAAGGTGGGAAAATTTGAAGGTCTTTAGAGAGTCTCTTGAGTTAGTATGAGTATATATAATTGAAATGGGAATTTTATGTTCAGTAGTGGTTTGTATGTTGATTAAAAAACTTAGGTATAGATTATTAAAAATAAAGAGCCTGAATTTTTTTTTTTTTTGGTACTGTGTTAATGCTTTCTGGAATTTCCTCCATAAATGAGTGTATTTTAAAACAATTGAGTTACTATTACAGAAAGTTCCTTTTATAAACATTACAAATCTCGGGCAAAGAGAAAAGGTTTTTATGAAGTAATCTCTTCAGTATTATTAATTCAGGCTTCACCTGCCCTAAAGTAATCAGAATACCTTCCTGTGGTGGAAATGAAAGCATTATTTCTTGTTATTTGCAATATTTGCTAATCTGGCAGAATGAGGAAGTAGGAAACTCCACTGTCTAAGATAGAGACACTCTGCTTTTTGTAACTTACATCAAACTCTTGTGTGATAACAGTTAATTGTCCTTATATAAGGTTCAAATCAGAAGAAAAAAATTGAAAACAAGACTTCTGTTCAAAATATAAATATCTTCAATAATTCATACTGTTAACAAAATAAGTGTTTTTAACATATGTAAGAAACTGCAGGGTGTTCCAGACTCAGGACCTTAAAGTTAAGTTCTAGGTAAGAATAATTTTTAAATTAAAGACCAAGTTATCATTTATTTTGTAACAACTTCACAGTTTCTCCCTCATCCCATACCCCTCAGAAATTTTAAGAGAACTTCAGGTTTGTAAGAGCAAAAAGCCAATAGGACTGAAAAAGACATCAAATATCTTGTTCTGCACCCTGCTTATAGATGAGGAAATTGTAGTATTGCATTGAATTTTCTCAGTTATTAATCTACTTGACATGAAACATTTTTCTTCCAAAATATTCAGGAACAGATTTGGAATAAAGATACCATGATATTAGACATGGTTACATTTATATTTTTAAAGCTCCTAAACTGGACCTGAATGATCCAAGAAATTATTTGCGTAAGTGGATTTTTATTCACTTTACATTTGTTAGCAATGCACAAAATGTCTTAATTTGAAAGTACACAATGTTGAAAAGCATTTACTTATTTCAATTAAATAAAAACTCATAGCTAGTTCGTTGCAACTGGACTTTTATTGTACAGTTACAAAAAAGAGGTTTCCACAAAAATATTTGGAAAAAATATACCACTTCATAGCTAAAGTCTTAGAGGGAAGAGAATTTGCTAACAAAACTTGAGTTTTGTTAATTAAGACGCAGGTAGTTCTTCTGAGCCAGTGCCCACGGCTCCAGGGAAGACATGTCCTATTTGGTCATTCAAATGCAGGATGAGGGCATTATGATTAAGCAAACAATATATTTGTTAGAACTTTGTTTTTAAGTTACTGTTCCTTGATATTACTTAATAAAGTGTCTCTAACTTTTGGTTTCTAAAACTATGTAATACAAAAGTCCAGTTCTCCCCATCTCATAAAATGCCAATGACACTGAGTAGGATGTATGAGTATCATGCTACTTCATTTAGTGTGTCTACTTTTAACAGTAATAAGGCAAATTGACAAATTCTTTGGGACTAAGATGATAATCATTTTTGTCCCCTTCAAAATTGTGCTTTAAGTGCTAATACCTATAGGCAGTTTGCTAAGAACTGATAAGGCAACTAAAAGTGGAGAATTCTAGAATTAAAGACATGTAACTGAAAGCTAACAGTACATGAGAGACAACTGGGGAAGGCAGCTGTGAAGCATATTTGTGGGATTATCATCTGAGTCTTAAATAAGGAATTGGCACATTTGTTTTCCTGATAATTTGTATCCACAGTTGACACCTGGAGGTTTTTGTTGTGCTGGTAGTTGGATGTTCTAAATGTTTCTTTCCAGTAGCTAATAATTCTTTCTGCTTTATATGTCTCCTTCCTTCTCAACAGCCCCTCTACTCTTGTTTTTCATGAAAGACCTTCAAAATGAAGTAAAGCCACTATGGCAATATAAAGGTATGAAATAAGGCTAATAATCCTATCAAAGATGTTCTCATCCATCCTAGGCCAGACTATACCTTGATGAGCTAACTATCAATGTAGTGTAAATTTGTTTATTCAGTTCTCTCCCCCCGCCTGTCTCCAACTTGGTTTATCTACTGACTTACTGATTATGCAAGTCTTGTAGTTCCTGTTCATGGGTTGACATATGTATAATAAAGCATATATTTCAAAGATAAGTCTGTTGGAAGTACACAAGATATATACTCTATTAAAATATGATTCAGGGATGGAAGGAGGTGCTCGGTGATAGAACTATACTGCCACAGTTGCTGAGAGTAGAAACAAATTATATTTCTAGCTAGATATGGATCTGGCAGGCATCACTGTAACACCCCTGGCAAATAGGGGCCCAGGGCAAAGAAGGAACTTTAAGTTAAAATACTTAGATATAACCAAAACTCACTAGTCTCTGTCTCTATACTGAAAAATTTAGTGTGACATGCTGCTTTATATGGCTTTGTGTTCTTACCATATGTATCATTTTGTGTACCTAATTATATCTTTGAACCAGCACATGACTTTACAGCAAATGTGTCCTGACATGAGATATAAAATGAATGAAAAACATCATCATCTGGGCATTTGTCTGAGTTATTAGTATAAACACTCAAAAACCTAAACTTTTCTTCATAAGCTGGAAATGTTTTGTACTTATGGGAAACTTTCTGCCCTTAGCCTTATGACTTCAGATCCTTGTATGAACAGGAATGGCTGGTTTCCTATTATATAAGTTGGTAAATTGCAAGTTTAATGGGACAGTGTAAATCCTGGGAATTAAAGTTGAATGATCAGGTGTCCAAAGTCAACTAAAAGATGGCACATTACTCATTTCAGGTAATTTTTTTTTTGCTCATGTAACTTGGACAATTCACTCTATTAGATTGTGGATTTCAAAGTATTGTTGAAGTTAGAGGTAGATCTTCTGCCTGCTTACAAGCCAAATAGTTATCTCATTAAAGAGGTCATAAGCCTTTTTCTGCCTGCCTTTAGATTTCAATGACAATGGTATATTTTAATAAAAGGAGCTAACATACACAGCTTAAATAGTTTCCTTTCCAATTAAATTCAATGTGTAGCAAATCTTGATGAAAAGTTAATTCTAGAGACTCATCCCAATTTTCCCACAAGTTATGTCTTCTCAGTATCTTTCTCCCCACTGCCAAATTTTCTGTTACTGTTGATGTTCAAACAGTATTTAATCCTTTAAAAAAATAATAAAAAGCATGTGTGTGGCTGACAGTAAAAGTGAAAAAGAAAAAAAAAACATAGCTTTCCCCGAAGTTAGCAAAATTTATGAAAATAGTATATTGCTATAAATGCCCTATGAACATGTTACCACTAAAAAAAATGTGAGTACTCTCCCTGAAGAAGTGTTCCATCTTTTCTGTTTTGTAATTCAACTATAAGTCCTCATGCATTATCTGGTCCCACAGTAATTTGAATGGTGACTACCCCACTAGTCAATAAAAAACTGGAAACAAGTGCTCATAGACAAGCTCTCTGAATCTCTGAGAAAGTAAAACTTAATGCACAATTAGCACTGAGACCAGGTTCTGCTTTCCACCTTGCAGACTTTTTAAGATTTATTGGATTGTTGGGCCGACCCCATGGCTCACTCCGGAGAGTGTGGCGCTCCTGCCGTGGGTTCGGATCCTATATGAGGATGGCCGGTGCGCTCACTGGCTGAGTGCGGTGCGGGCGACACCAAGCCAAGGGTTGCAATCCCCTTACCGGTCACAAAAACAAAAACAAACAAACAAACAAACAAACAAACAAAAGATATATTGGATTGCTGTTCATAAAAGGTGCCCATACCTGGTATTTTGTATAGTTATATCACTGGGCTTCTTAGTTCAATGCAATGAACATTAATATCATGGCTTCTTTAAATGGTACCTTTTTAAGAAGGCTTTATACACAAAGTCTGAGTCATCCAGTAACAGCTGTTGTTAGTTAGGGCCCTAAAGTTTAAGGTGGTAGTGATGCTTTTCAGCTACAAAATAGAAGTTCTTAATTAAGGACAGGGTTCAATGTGGACCTATCTACATGGGTTGCTTCCCATGCTAGGTTATCTGTGTCAAGAAGTGGGGATCCTTGACACAAATGGTTTTGACAAATAAGACCCACTGCTGAGCGTTATGGCTTGAGTGCCTCTCACTTGCTGAGGAATTTTGAGAAAAACCCTTTTCATATCTGGGCTTTTTTGGGTGTAAATAACCCATTTGAAACTTGGGGCACTTTTTGTTCTTCACTGTTTTCTTTGGTGATGCCATTACTGCCTCAGGAGGAAAGTGGTGTGACATACAGCTGATTACTGGCTGCCAGAGGACGTCTGTTTAGCCCTTCCAATGACTAAAATACAAGACCAAGCAGATAGAAATTGCTGTTAACACAGAACTGCTTAAAACACATTTCATCCTAAGTATTCCTACACAAGTGACATTATCAGAGACATGTTTTTACATCCAGATGGAATTCTTTATATTCACACCAATTTTTGCTTTTGTTTCATGTATTTAAACTAGCACCAACTATATCCACAGTTCAAGAAGGTGTCATCATCCTACAGCATCAAGGCCCCTCACTCTCAATGTATGGGATGTCATAGTACTTAATGTTATTGCATGCCCACTGCTGCAAGGCTTCATGCATGATTTTCTGGGACAGGTGGTGTGCATATTCCAAGACCACAATATTGGTCTCTGGGGCTTCTTTCACTTCCTCTTTGACATTAACCAGAGAAGACATCCGGGGTAGAAATCTCTCGTCTGGTGTAAAGTTCTCTTCACTCTCATGCCGCTTCTCAGTCTCTAATGTGGTAGGAAATGGGAAAGTTTGCTTTGATTTCATGCAGCCCATGTTATGAATAGCTTTGGCTAAGTGAAGGAAGGCAGGCAAAGACTAATTCAACAGCATCTTTGGAAGACAGTGAGGGTTCATCCACGTGATACTGACCAGTGCTTTCCCTCTCCAGGCCACTTCAGTAATCAGTGTTCCTTTTTACCACTCTTCACTTGTTGTGTTTATCTGTCAAGAGAAGGAAAGTTTCATTTTGAAGTTATAGAATGCAAAGTAACGTACCATTCAGTGGCATGTAGAAATACTGCAAAAGTCCTTTTCACCATTTTATCACTTGGAGGAAATATGGAGTAACAACAAGCAGCTTTTTTCTTATCAACAGAAGAAAAAGAAAATCACTCAATAAAAATGGCAATTTACAAAACAGGAAAACATTTTTCAACGTCTTTAGTGACTAAGCTTTTTGCTAGCTTAGATTTATTTATCTGTACCAAGGGACAGCACGACAGATCATTTTTGCCTGTTTTCATAAATTATCAGAACACAGACATGCTCGTTTGTTTATATATAGTCTATGGCTGCTTTCATGCTACAATGGCAGAACTGAAGAGTTCTGACATAGATCATGGCCTGCAAAGGCTGAAATATTTACTATCTGGCTCTTTACAGAAAACGTTTGATCTATACTGTCAGTGGACACAAGCATATCAAGATTTGTTCCTGCCCCAGACCTTATGAGCCTGCACATCTTGGACTGCTATTAAGAGTCAGGCTTTTTCTCCTGGTCAGATATTTATAACTCAAAGAGAAGCAGAGAATGATGGTCTTTACACTAGTGCCAACTCGAAACAACACAGGTTAAGAATAGCAAAGTCACATATCTTTTTCTCCTAAATTAAATATTATATATGAAAAGCTTAGATTAATTTAAAATAAGGTTAAAGGTTTCTCTCTTGAGTAATGTCATTCCTACCGTTGTTCGACGTTTGGACAGTAAGTAGCTACAATGCTTGTGACGTGTCTTTTAAGCTTCCCAAGTGGGTGTTGTCACTGAATGAACTTCTCTTAAGATAGGACTTGGGGGTGATTAAAACAGTACAAAACAACTTTTTTTCAAAAATGGAACAAGGGATGTGTGTGATGTCTGTCTGGTTTACTAGACTGAACTCCTTTAAGATGGGGACTGTCTCAGTTGTGCATGTCCAGCATGTAATGACTTAACCATAGTATCTATTTTGTACTGTGAGGGATGGCTAAGGGAATTGAACATAGCTAACCTGAAAAAGATTAGAAAAATCAATGAGGGTCAGATAAATAAAAGGTGGTGAGCAGAGTCATCAGAATATTCTGTTTTAGCTCTATAGTTTCCATCCCACAGAATCCTCTTAAAATTTATCATGAATAAGGAAGTGTGATCCTTAAAGTCAGTCCCAAATGAGAAAAAAAGTTTATCCATAGCATTTACTGCTCACAGTCATAGTAGCAGCTGTTCAAATACTTGATAGACATCTGAAAAGGCAATTACAATCTAAGCCTGTACGCCACTGAAGGACAAATAAGCTTTGTGTAATTTCAGTCTTCCCTAATAAGATAGTTGATTCATAATGAGGAAATAAAGTTTCAACAATGTTAATCATTAATGCATATAGTTCAGCAGATATGATTGGCCTTAGGACAGCAGGCGTGATTGGCCGTGCTGAGTTAATTTTTAGACTGTATTATTCTTCTATCAGGTTGGGAAGTTACTATGGCCATCAGTTCAAGGCATGATATATTAAATGCTGGATATTAACCAGAAGTGTTTTGGCTTTCTTATCATTTTAACTGGCTGATTACAGAAACATGTCTAAAAAATACAATTTTTCAAAAATATTTAAACCAATATCTTTCATACCTTAGTATATAATCTCAAGATACATAAAAGCTATTAGTGAGACCATCCCTTAACCATCCAACCAGTCTATATTGAATGTTTACTATGTGTTCAGCACCAATGTCCATCAGAATGTAAGTGCTTTCAAATTTTTATTTAACAATAAAATCAAAAAGGGGAGGGGGGAGAGAGAATAAGATGAGAACTTTGAAAACTTACTCAGGCTACATGTAGTGTAGATGCCCAGAGATGGTCCTTAATTTATTTCAGTTGACAATAATAAAATCTAATGGTGTCTTTCCTCCCACCACTCCGTCTCCCTCCTGAATCCCAATGCACAGAGACATACATACACATCACATGGTCATACAACATGAGGGAAAGAAGGTCCTTTTTACATGTTTCCTTCAATGTTACTTTGAAGCCTCAAAGTACTAAATATATAAAGTGTGTCAGGCCACAGCTCTGGCACTTCCCTCAGAAATGCGTCTGGCAACCACTGGGCCTTTTGTTGGGGCCTTCAAAGAGAAAATTTGACTTACTAGAGCCTATTCTTTATAGTTGATTTTGAAGCTGTGGTCCTCCACCCTGGGTACAATGTCATCAGAAGTAGTAAGCTCCTGGAGAAGGTATCCCATGGGAAGTATCCCCCCAAAAAGCCACAACTTGGCTTTGAGTGGGGCCCAAACACAAAGCTCTGTCAAAATAAAAGTAACTTCTAAAATCTTCTTAGTAACTAACAGGTTGCTGAATCCCTGAAAGTTCATCTTAAATACTAGATTAACAGAGATAGTTTATTTTTCTGTTGTCACATTTTATGTCATATTCTAAGCCTTTACACAGATTTCCAAAATGTCTTATATATCAAGTTTTGGCTCAAAATGGGCCGTACCCTGAATTAACGCAAATCTCCATATAATAACCATGTTGTAGTCTTATAAAAGGTCTTATGCATATATGTAGTCTCTTTCAAATTTCAGTGTAGCTATAATAAAAATGCCAATTGATTAAAAACTTAGAACTGAGTTCATTAAAAAATATATAGCTGAGTTCCTAATAGCATGTTTGTCATTCTCTAATCATGGGTACTAAGAGTACATTTTCTTTCTTGTAGGGGATTCTCATGAAAATTGGACATTAAGTGGAGGTCTCTGTACTGGGAATACTGACAATCACTGACTTGGACTGTAAATTCGTAACAGGATCAAATGACACAGTTAAACAGCAAACAGAAATGGACTCAATTTAAATTTAATATTCTTTCTCTTTCACCAAAAAGTAAAAACTAGAAAATACAAAATAGGATTTTGGTCAGTCTGAAGGTCACCAAAAGAACACTACTATTTGGTCTTTAGAAACTGAGTAGCTGATTTCGTCCTCAGGCACACGGAACACATAGTGTGGACACACAATGGTGTACCAATGGGGCAGTCTCGGGATGACTCTTCTGTGCTCACACTTGGGGCCAAAGTTTCTCAATGGAGAGGCAGAGAAAATAGCAAGTGAAAGGACAGTGTTAGAGATTTTAATAAACCTGGGTAGAGCTATGTGGTATGATTTTATCTGTAAACTGTGCTCTACCTCAGACGGTCATCATAAAAATTAAGTTAGATTCTATACGTAAAGCATCTAGAACTGCCTTGGAACTTGGAAGGTGTTCAGTAAGTATTGTTTCCTTATCTCCAGATTTGTTCTCTAAACCTCCTAAGTTCAAGTTATTAATTATCTTAAGTTAACTAAAAATTTTAATAGTTATTTTAAGATTATAATTGAGAGAACTATAAGAATGCCAACAGTCATTTAGGGTTTTTTAACAGAATCAGGTGATAGATTTCTTAAGTCAGGTGTCAGTACTTCATTTCATTTACCAGGTCCTCCAGCTGGAGGAAAAAAACCAAGCAGACGTTTCCCTCAACCCTTCTGGCCTCTACTTTAGGTACCATGTGGCTCACCTGGCCACTCCTATTTATGACCACAAATATTTAAGTTCGGTCAGCAACAGTTCCTCCAGTATCGTAATATATATCCTCACAGGAAAATGAAAAGTAGTTTCTTAACTATTTTTGGTCAAGGACTTTTTTCAGACTCTGATGAAAGTTTTAGATCTTTTTTACAGAAAAAATCCTGTATATAATTTCACGAATTGGAGGGCTTTTTGCAAAAGTAGGACTAATGAGAAACAGGTCCAAGGAAGCTGTTGTCAGTTCCATGTAAACAAAGTCTTGCTAATACAGAAAAGAGGAATATCTCAAAATGTAGTGAGCTTCCTGTCAATGACTTGTTTTTCAAATTGTGGTTGGTCTGTCAGGAGTGCTATAGAGGAGATATTAAAACAGACTGGAGGTTGGTCTATGATTTTAAAGTACCCTTTTGCAATAAGATTGTGGTCCTAAATAAGTACTTTTTGTAATTTTTGTTTGATGGCAAAACAAAATTAAAAACAAGTTATTTTTCCAGACCAGTCTGCAGAATACCTAAATAATGTTATTTCCCATCTATATATGATAGCTGTATTAGGTACTTGAAAACAACCTCATCCAAAGGAAAAAGGAACGTCCAACTGTTGATCTTGGTTTGATTTATACTTTGTCATAATAAAAGTAGGTTCCTTATTCCTCTGAATTCTTATCTAAAAATATCCCTAAGATAACTATCATATAAACCAGGTCCTAAAAAGATGGAGTCTTTGATGAGAATATGTACTAGTTTATAATTTTATGTTAACATACTTCCATAAAGGATGGGGGAGGAGGGCTGGGAGACCAGAAAGAGAAGGGAAGCAAATCCAGTTGTTCGGCTTTGCTTCTCAGATCCCTTCGCTGATGGCTGCACGATCTTGCTCGTCTACTCCGCTTTATTTCTCATTTGCATCATTTTGCCTCAAGATTCAGCCTCCCACAGCTCCAAAGAGCACAAGAGCTAACACCGTACTTGCTCATCACGTGCCTGACAGCTTGGCATGCAAATAAAATGTTTACGGACAGATCTTTTACCTGAAAATCTTCAATCACTCTTGAGGTAGGAAAGAACGTTAAACGGCAACTCGTAATGAAATGGGGGCTCAGAACAAGATGGAAGGGATGGGGGCCAATTGTCCTCGATTAGGGGACAGAGATGTAAGGCTCTACCCAAGACAGCTGGCGGAGAAATGTCTGCTTTGATTAAAGCCTCCTGTAACTCATGGATTTCTGCCACTGAAAAATCGAAAAGGCACAGCTGAAGAGCAAAGACCGACAGACACACACACACCCCGGCTGTCCACCAGATGTTCACTTACACAACGCATCGCCGGAGCAGCTGCGCGCCGCTCGCGCGTCCGGACGGCCGTGCGGGCCACGGAGGCAGC